CACTATTTTATACATTCGGAGTGTGGGATCCACTTTCTAGGTTTTGACAAAAAAAAAGTCCTAGAGTAGCTGTTCAATAGAAACTTCTGTAGAGTGATAATGAAGACATGAGACCTAGCGAGAATTTTGGTCTACCTATTATTATCGATTATCAATATAGTCATTACTATCTTTGAGTGAGGACTGATAGTAAGTATACTGATAGCAATGATACTAATTGACATTTGTCAACTGTATTACTAATAGATTATTGTGTCCTAAAATTAATAATAGGTTATGTATTTTTATTTTCTATCTTCCTACGTGATTAATTATCTATAGAGCGGTCTCTGCCTCTCTCTATGTTTTCCTATTAATTAATTCCTATTCCTTTGTGAGCACATAAAAAGCGGTAAAAAATGTGTGCACACCTTTAATACTGAAAGAAACGGCTCTAGTGGGGTCCACAGGAGGTGCTTTAAAACTCAAAGCATGTTTTACATGATTGAAAAAAAATTGAATTATTAATATAATGATCGTGGTTTATGATATTCCAACGAGCTTGACTTAGGTAATGATCGTGGTTTATGAGACTTGATCAAGTAAAATAAAGAGAATTAAAAAAAAAGATACTTATTTTATCAATCAATAGTTAGAATTTAAAATGGCCCATAATTTAGAAATTATGCAATAAAGAACTCCTAGCTATAGGATCCAAGCTGGAAAATCATACAGAAAGAAAGAAGAAATTTACGAATCTCCTACCATACAGTTTAAAATTTAGGAACTACAAATATACTAATTTCTATATTACTTGTCAATAAAATAATCTGATTGTAGCGATGTCTTAACTGTTACCGATGGTTGTTTTAGTTATACTTTTAAGTTGATCTAAAGTCGATAATGAGATGTAAATCTCTTTGTCCTTCTTATTTATATTTTGCATGGTGAAACAATCTCCATCAATTATTTTCCTCCACGTGTGTTACCCATTACTTACAAAGACGGTAAAGCAAAACGAATTATAACTCCCACGTGCAACGTATTGCTTCCGAAGTTGCAAACCCAAAATTTTTCACGTGAAGAAAACCAAAGAGTGTGTTAAATCGTAAGCAGTTAAAAAGCGCAAAAAGATTAAAGTTTAAATTGCCAACCCCAATTGGATCCATATCCAAATCCGAAACCCGAATCACCACAAGAACAGAAAATATGGTTTCTACGATATTAGTCACTCGCTGTTTCATGTTTTGATTTAGTCCCTAACATCTTGATATTTTGCATTTAAATCCCCAAAAACTTAAAGTGTTACGAAACTAGTCCACCAAATCATTAGATTTTGAAAGTAGTCTGCCGATCTTTTAAAAGATTTTGAAATTGGTCCTTCCAGTTAGTAGTTGGATGAAAGGCTTTGGAGACCAATTTCAAAACACTTAAAAATATTGGGAAACTAATTTCAACATATGAATATTTGCGGGGCTAATTTCAAAACACTTTGTGTGGGCTAATTTCAAAAGAATTACAAGATTTAGGGACTAATTCAAAAACACAAATTGAAAAACTAATTTCAACATATGAAGATCTGTGGGGCTAATTTCAAAGCACTTGAATATTTGCAGGGCTAGTCTAAAACAATCACAGATTTTTGGGACTAAGTTTACATTGTGAAGATCTGGGGGTATGTTATGAAAATATGAAATAGTTGGGGGACTAATTCGTAAAAGCCATAGAAAATATCAAAGGCAAATCAACCACTCATTCTGAGTCTCCAGACCGACCCAGTCCAAATTCATTACTGCCGACTCGTTTGGCAAAAGCGGGCTGTGCGATGCGATGCGCAATTCTCTCACGTGACAAAATTGAATTTAGAGCACGTGTTCCACGTTTCCCCTCCCTCATCGTTTAATTATGTCTGAAGAACTTTCTTTATAAAAAGAGGGAGCTCTGTCTTTGTTCTCTACCATATTCTCGTCTTCATTTTAATCTCTCTCACAATAATTTTCAAATTTCCTCTTTAATATTCGTGCAAAAAATATTCAAAAATTATATATTTTGATGGATAGAGTTCATGATCCAGAGCTCGAGCTCCGGCTTGGTAGCAGCCACCACAGTTCGTCAGCGGATTCAAACTCTTCAATGTCAAGCACGTAAGAAATCAAATTTCCTTTTCTAATTATTTTAGAAAATTTATATGTTTTATGAAATGAATTCTTGTTCTGACATTATTATTTGCGTTATAATTTACAGGGTTACAGATTGGCTCAGAAACGATCCACAATATCATCATCATCAACATCAACAGCAACAACACTTTTTGCAGCGACAACAGATTACCTTTTTTTATAATGGAAATATTTGTGTCGGTGATGTTACTGAGATACAGGTTAGTTTCATAATCTTTTGCAAGATATAATTTTTTTTCTATCTATTTTAACTTGGTTTTTCAATCCATTCAAAAAATGTGCAAAGGCTACACACTGTTGTTAATAATTTCTTCAGCAAATAAGGGGATAACCTCCATCTTAATCGGGTTTAGATTTTTAATTGATATAATGAAAAGAAATTTTATGATGTTTTGATAGCAATTTAGATTCAACGGTTTGAACCCTTTCATCAAGCATGTATTTTTAATATTTCACTGCATAAAGCCTAGGTTTCAATACATAAAAAAGTGTTAGCTCTCAGGAAAAAAGACATAAAAATCAGTCAATTTTGATGAAATTAATCTAAAAATTAATATAATCCTTAATTGTATTTTCTCAGGCAAGAGCAATAATATGCATGGCAAAGAAAGAGACGGCGGAGGGAACAACAGAGAAGAACAAAGAGATCCCTTCATCATCTCAGTTTCGACCGGCCGTATCTCCAACACCAGCAACGGATCTTGGGCCGCCGCTGATGAGTCCTGGACTTTCAATGAAGAGATCGCTGCAGAGATTCCTTCAGAAGAGGAAGACGAGGATGGACGCAGCTTCACCATACAACTCATGCACAGTCGAGTGGGACCGGCAATAGCTGATTTCTCTTACATTCAGGATGCAGCAAAGAGATCTTAAAATTTGGATTACTGCACAAATCACTGATTCTACAGAAATCCAACAGAGCTTGGATGGATGGAAGATGGATGCATGAATCTTAATTTTGATTTATTTGTAATGTTATTTATTGATTTGGTTGGAACACTATGCGTGACTCATGTTGATTACACTCTCTCTTTGGATGTGAAACATTGCATAGAATGTAGAAATTATTAAGATTTTCCCTGTCTATACTCTCTGTTCAGTATGTTCCTATTTTGGAGGTTCTGCTTCTTAATTAATCATTTAATCAAAGCCTCAGCAGCGAAGCTATATATTAGAAATTTTATTAAAATTTTATTAATTGATTTGTCACATGATGGATATGATAATGAAAACTTCATTTCTGAGTATGCTTATTATCACAAAGAGCGATAAAATTAAATAGAAAATTAGGATTATTTACTACATATATAATAGTAGATTTCCAACCTCTTTATAAGGCTTATTAACTCCCAGGTTGGATCCTATATATATAGTAGATTTGGGGATTTTTTTTTCAATAGTGATGATTTGAGGGCAGTTTTACAAATACTGAGATTCTGATGGATAGTTTTACAAATATTGAGATTTGATGAATTTTTTTGCAAATATACTAAGGGCTAGCTTTTGTAAGATCCCTCAAAGTTTATTTCTCAAAACTCTTCTCTTCCTCTCCTGAGTCGTGAATGCATTACAAATATATACTAGGTGCTGTTTTGATTTTTCACGAGCATTCTCTTAGACCTCTCATCTGGATTTAATTTATCTGCCACATTCTGTCTACCCTTATCTGCATGCATTTTTTTTTTCCTTCTCTAACGCTTATCCTTAGCTAGTTCATGCCTACCTCTTTTCCTTATTTGGTTTTGGACCTCTCACCAAAAATCCTGCCTCTGCCATTGCTCGAGGTTGTCTTCAGAAGATTCTATAGATTGTGGATCATATATCTCTTGAGGAATCAGTTCGAACAAAGTTAGTGAACTTGCTCATGACGTTCATGGGTAGTTGATGTATACTCATGAACTGAAAAAAGTTTAAGAAGAAGTGATTAACTTAAATAGAAAATTGGTATCAATACCTGATAGTTTAACCTTTTTGGATGTATTTATAACTTGAAAAATCTTCATTTTTATATTGATTCGTCTTCGTCTTTATATCTCAGGTTCGGGGTGGCTTTTTTTGGGGCTTTTATCTCTTAACCCAAAATTTGACCCACACTTACTGAAAAACCCACCCACTTTCATAAACACTCATACACACAAAGATTTCTAATCACTTATTTTTATACCCAAACCGTATAATACCCCCAAACTTTATACGATTTTTCTGAAAATAGTCGTAAATCCCAAAATTGTCATTCTTCTTCTTCCTTAATAATAATCCAGTATCATTGCTCTCTTTCCTTGATTCAAAAATCCAATAGCCCTAAGAAGCCAATCCCATAATTCATAAGAAGTCGATTTCCAAATGCCACAAAAAATTCGCTCTTGATCCCTCTCATTTGCACAAATATTGTCAATCCCTTCTCTTGGTTGGCGCCACGATCCTCTCTTCCTCTTATTTTGGTGCGACTCGACGAGCGATCTCTCTTTTCATAGGCGAATGATATCAACAACCTCAGTCGAATAGGCTTTTGAGAAAAATTTAAGTTTTACACAATAATTTATGTGATTTGAGAAAACTTGAGTTTTACGGAGGGAAATTTGTATATAATAATTATTTACATTCTAAAATTTTGGGTTTTTGGCAATAGCTTGTCGAAGATGTCTCGCTGATATAAATTGAGGGGTTCTTGCCAAACTTGTACTTCAGAATAGGTTATGTGCATAACAATTTTGTTTATAAGTATCTAAGTTTTGGTGACAAGGTTGATGCACGAAGGGTGTTTGATGGAACGACAAGAGGGATATAGTTACTTGGATCACAACAATTAGCAGTTATGCGATGTTGCGGTTAGTTGAGGAGGCAATAGAGGTGTTCGATGAAATGTCAAAGAGAAGTTTAGTTTTGTAGAATCCGATGATTGAGGGTTATGTGCATGTACAACGTCTAAGAATGAGTGGCAAAATTGTATTCTTATTGTACATATTATGCCTTTGTGAGAGGTTGATATTGTGGTGATTTAGTCAGAGTTTATTTCTAATTTTTTAATAAATGGTTGATACTATTGTCATTATTAGAGAAAATTGTAGCACTTTATAGTCATTAATTTTTTAATCAATGAAAACGGATAACCATGTATATAGTTGTTTGTTCAATTCTTTATAACTTTCAGTTGCACTCTCGTTTATACAATGTTTGAGCAAAATGTAGCACTTTATGCACAAGCGTAGCACCTTATTTTAAAAGTGTGGCTCTTTATACAATTGTATAGCTCTTTATAGAAGAAGTGTAGCTCATTATAGATAAAGTATAACTCTTTATTGTCTCTGAAAATGCAGAAAATAAATCAAATGGGTGGCCATGTATATAGTGTGTTGTTTTTTCAATTCTTTCGTTTTTATAACTAATAAGTCCACCCTTATTTATATAATGTCTGAGCAAAGTATAGCACTATATGCCAAATCATAGCACCTTATTTGTGAAGTGTAGCTCCTTATTTAATTGTATAACTCTTTATTGAAAAAGTATAGTTGTTTATTGTAAAATATATAGCTCTTTATTTAAAAAGCTTTATCACAAAGTATAACTCTTTATTTGAAAAGTAAAGCTATATATTCTTCATATAAACAACTATATATTTTCCATAAAAAGCAATATTTTGCCCATAAAGAGCTACCTTTTACATTAAAGAGCTATACTTTTCATACAACAAGCTACAATATATCGTAAGAGCTACAATATATCATAAAGAGTTATGGCTCTTTGAGAACAAAATATAGCTCGTTATGAGTTCTATATCATTCGCATACTCCATCGGGATGGACGACTTGCTATATAATCTTTTCAAAAAATACAAATTAACCAAAAATCTTTTTAAAGCATTTAATCAAACATGTGTTATGCATCAAATAAATTTTATTTAATACACTTAATTCTGCAAAATATTACAATCAACTAAAAATCTTTTTGAAGAATTTCATCAAACACACAATGTACATCAAACTTTGTCCTTATATTTTCGCATCCTAAGCCTTAAATCCAAAGTCTAATTCAATCCAATATAAAAGTAATCTCGTGATTGCAGGCAAATGCGGTGGAGATGATCCTTAAGTAAGGACCTTGTTGAATGGCTAAAGTCGAAATGGAGGATGGAAGCGAGTTGGTCAGAGCAGTCGACAGTTGAGGATGAGCTTGAATTGTTTGAGCTTTGTTGGCCAAGGAGTGGAGGGACAACCAGTGGTCTTGATGTCGCGTGCGAGCTCCATGGTGAAGCCTTTTGTGGAGGAAGTGGAGCAGTGTTAGGAGGAGAACATAGAGCTCAATTAGGAGGAGGAAAGGGATTCAAATGGTAAGTTAGAGAGCTATGGAATAGACCAGTGATTAATGGAGTGGTGAAAAGTTGTGTGGAAGGGAGCAGAGAGTAGAAAAGAGAATGAAGGAGAGGGTAATATGGGTATATTGAGTTTTAAATATGTATATAATATATACTTATACGTATTATGAAGACTTAGGTTTAAAAATAAGTGATCTTTGTATTTTAGGGTTTAAGAGGCATTTTATAAGTCTATGAGTTTAAAAATAAGTTGGGTTAAACCTTCCGGCTAAGGATGATTTTGTTATAAACGCGTGTATGTGTATGAAGTTGAAATCTAGGATTCTAGGTGTTTTGGCACATCCCAATCGGCGTTTCACACGGAAGCTTCTGCTAAACGTAAACTATATGCATGTGGGGTTTAGCTCTATGAAATTGGATACCTACTTAACAATTGAAAAGATGACTTATATCAGCTTGCACATAAAAAGAATATTCTTCCTCCTCTATGTCACATCACTTAATCAAGAATCATGTGATTAACAAAATAATTAAGATATCAAAATTTGTACACGAGGACTTTGGTAGTAACGTTTGGTGTTTTTTAAACACAAAATAAAAATGTTAAACTCTCTGTCGTTGTTAATTCAATAAAATCAAAGTGATGGCGGCAGTATTTGTTTATTTATTCATAGAGAAATCATAGAAGATCATAGGAGAAAAGCTCATGTCGTCTGCTTAGAAAACGAAATAGATGTCTCAAAGTTTAGGTGCAACATTTCCCCCCACTTAATCACTTGCTTTTGGACCTTCAAGCTCGATCCACAAGAATCTGAATTAGGTGAGTGATAACGTCATCCCTCATTGGAATAGTTATATATCCAGTATACTAAATTATGACTAGGTCGATCTCTAAATGATGTGATGGGATCTACAAATCCAATTTGAGTTTCGGATGAAAATTTGTAACTTAATTCGAGTCGTATCATGGATAGTAGAAACTCAAGTCTAATTGGGTATCTATCTTTATATCTTCATGATATCTTAAGTCGTTGATGAAAACGCGCCTCTAAATCTTGATGATGATGTGTGAGACTTTATATAAGGTTAACCCTTTCTATTCACTAAAGAAGCAAATCGACCTAAAAGGCCTCAAGTTGGAATAACTGATGCTAGGCTACAAAACTAGCTTACCCTATCTCTGCAAATTTGTCTCCAAATACTTGGCATGATATTAGAACAATGTATATGCGCGCGGTTAATTTTCATGAGCCACATATTTAATGCAAACTTTAAAAGAAAATAATATCGTTGTCTAAGTCTAGATTTCAGTCTATAAAAAAGCATTCACTCTACAAAAGAATGTCATATATAAAATTATATTGTTTAATTATCATAATAGCTTTGAGGTGTCTATTATATAATTTGGTGTTTTGTAGGATCAAATTGTTTTCCATATCCATTCTTGTCGGGTCTGAATCCTTAAATGGATCTAAATGATATGAACTTAGAACAAGTAATAACAAGTTTAAGTGTGAAGTTAGACGCTTTTGTTGGCGATTGCGTTGAGGCAGGCTTCTAGCTCATCCACTTTAGAGGACTGAGGGTGTAGTTCTCTTTCCATCTCCTTCTCATTTTTAGAAGAAGATTCTATGTTTTGAGCTTCGCGATCCGAATGCTCAGGCGTTTTTTGTTTTCCCTTGGAGATTGTCCTCCGGGAAGACTCCGATCTTTGGCCTTTTTCAGCAAGGAGCTGGGCCAACATATCCTTCATTTGGAGAAGTGTCTCCTGTTG